CATTGCATTTTTCTTTTCCGGTTATCATAAAGAATCCACTTTTCATCACATGTTACAATTCGATCCAATATTCCTTCATTTCTGTACCGGTTCAACAAGGCAACACAAGTTTCAACACGCGTTTCTTTCTGCAGATCAGTCAAATCATGAGGCACCCATTTTTCGTATTTTTTTATTTTATTGATTTGACGCAAGTGAGTCAATATTGTGGGTAAGGTAACGTTAAACCATGCCGCTAATTCCTGGGTAGTTTGACTAGGATCGGCTTCCACTATCTCTCTTAATTCATCGTTATTCACCTGTGTGGGCGGTCTTCCTCGTGGCTCGTTCTTTAAGTCGAAATTTCCATCACGAAAGCGTTTAAACCAAAATCGCACGGTGCTTTCATTAGTAGACCCCTCTCCAAACGCAGCATTGATATTGCGGGCTGTTTCTGCCGCGTTAGTTCCGCGTCGGAACTCGTATTCAAAAATCACTCGAATTTTCGCAGTATCCATCTTTCTTGTCTAAATTGAATAACAAAAACAATTGAAAGTCGATATTCAAATGTTTCAAATTTAAAAAAAAAATCACAGAAACCATTTGAAAAAAGTTTCATTCGAAAACCTCAAACCATGAAGATTCTATGAAAATTCAAAGAACCTATTGCAATAAAACGGCAATTTCATACTTTAACCCCTAATATTTACAATATCTAATCAGTTCTTTTTGGAGTCGGTGCCGGCCAATGCAAGTCTAGAAACCCACTGTAATTTGAGTTGTAATTATATTTACCAATTATAATATTATTAATACTATACATACAAGACTACTGACAGACAGGCAAGCGGGTAGCACGAGTGGTGTGGGGAGGGGGCAGCTTGCTTGAGTGAACGACTCGAACACGGGCAGACGCGTGAGGGCATTTGGTCTACATTAATTTTGTTAGTTTGCTTTTGGATGGCAATTAAAGTATATGTCAAAATAATTTTGTTCTAGTTACGTTTATAAGATAAAGCTAAGAAAGAATATAATCACAGTCTAACCAAGACATAATTGGACGTAGTTAAACAAAAAGGATCCAATGCACATCCAGTCACTTTCGAGATATGCCAGTTTGAAGTTTGAAAGTGTTTCTCATTCTTGTTTTATTTTCAAAACTTAAGTTATGTAACTCAGAAATATTTATTTATGTTTATATGTTTTTGCTAATCTAGAGGTTAGACTATAGGAACCGTTTGGTACATATAACTCATTTTTTGATAATTTTGTGGATTGGATCCTTTTCGCTAACTACATCCGGTTATGAAAACTGAAGGTATTGTTGCGTAGGAACTGCCTTCGTGGCCAAACGGTTACCTTCCTGGACTGCAGAGAACCCCGGGTTCGAATCCCGGATCGGGAGAAATATTTGCATGGTCTTCAATTATTTTTCTCGTAAGTTTGGATGTAATTTGCAGTTGTCTATTTGTGTCCATGGCGCCCGTGATATAGGGTTTGCCTAGGGCTATGAGTGTGTGCGTTATTGTTATTGTAGTTTGCATACTGCGTATAATATATGCAAAAATTTTAAGCCAGAAATGAAAGAGAAATGTTATAACGTAAATAATTTTTTAAACTATTATTTGCCTGTATTTATCATTCTCAAATCCTATCATCAAAACAGAAAAAGTTATTATAATAATAGCGGTATGAAAATCGTGCTTTTACATCACTAACCTCACACAATGGTTTACTTTGTAGTTAGGGATTCGCTTTGGGCCTTTTGGAGGGAAAAGTGTCGTTTTTATTTTGACTTTCAATTATTTTGTGAAATCTAATTTAAAATGGAATAGGATAGTGCTATTGTGCCTTAATAGAAGATTAAAACGCGAAATTATACGAATCTCGAACTAAAATACCCGTATCGGGCCCGTTCTAAGGAATCCTGAGTCAATCCAAGCACGCCGCCTCAAATTGCCTATCCTCTTTTTTGTGGCGGCCATATTTACAGAAACATAATTAAACGAAGACATGGCTCAAACGACTTGTATTCAAGCCAAAATTATTAATAAAATAAATAAAATACTTTGAAGTTAGACGAAAATGGCGCGAAAATTTAATAATTCAATTTAATTTTATTTAAAAATGGTAGAATATTTTAGAATTAGAAACATATTTATATATTTATTACAATAAGAATCAATACCTACAGTTTTGTTTTTAATTAATAAAAATAAATGGATATTGACGCTGTCGGTCATTCTGTCATTGATATCCCGTGTAGTCACAGACCACATAAATACTAAGTGTAGTTCTTCCACATCTTGTATCATCACAACAACAATTTCGGAATATGCATACTAAGTGCATGTCTAAGTAAGTAATTCAGAATAATATGAAATGATGATGTGCGTCGGAGCTTTACCGTGAGAGATTTAGCGATGGTAGATCAGAAACTGAACGCCGTCGACTTCCTTCGAGAGCCTGCTTTCGAAATATGTTTTTGAGGCTTCAAACTACTGGGTCATTCCAGTGATAGGCCAGAAAGTTGCCCAAGTGTTCGTGGTCCTGACACGGACGAGGCGTTGTTCGATCATTTCGAAAATAATCCGCGGACCAGCACTCCCTGAACAGCTGCAGCTCTTGGGATTGCAAACCATATGCATACAAAACAAATAAAAAAAAACTATGTCAGAAGCACGTTTTTCATAAAGTGTATTTTTGTGTTTACTTTGAATTATTATTTTTTCTTTGTGAATCTTTATTTTATTTATGAAAATCTTAACTGTTGACATACTAAAAAGGCATTTTAGTGAGAAGCGATATCATAAAGGACTGTGTATACTCTGATCGGGTGTTGGTAGTGGAAACTGATAACCGTTAATTTGTATACTTTGATTACGGTTTCATATTTGTTGCTTTGAAACAATTTACAAAACAAAACGTATTAAACAATTTAAAGTAATCAACGAAGTATAAAACGTATTTGTTTAGATGATTTATTCGCATTTTATATCCTTTCGCATTTTAAATATTTTTAGAACATTTAATACATTCTATACCAAATTATATAAAATTGTACCTGTACATTTATTCGATCATGAATAAATTACAACTTTTATTAATAACTATGCAATACTAATAAGCAAATTTTTTAAAGAGATTAAAATAATTTGTCACTTTCTTTGTAAATTATTCCAAAGATTTCTTTGAAATGAAAACGTATTGAAAAATAATGTGATTTGTTGGGAAACTACTTGAAATATTTTTTCAGTTGAATCAAATCCCGCAATCCGTTGCGACAAATCGTACGGCAATTAAGCAGGTGAAGCCGATATCGTGATTAAAGTATACACATCGAAGGTTATCCGTTTCTATAACTAAACGATCACGCGATCAGATTATACATACCCCTGTAAAGTACAGGGTCAAGAGCAGCAGCATTGATATAAACTAAGAAAATCACAATTATTATCAATGAGATATCATTGAGTTAGGCCACATTCTTCCGTGAGTTAGGCCGATGATACTCTTTTGTGAGACAGTGAAGTTTTGATTAAGATTTGTTTTTTAGTGTAAGTACAAACTTTTTTTGTTGGAAAACCATAATCAATGGGATACTATCATTGACTTACAAATAAATGGACGACGGGTCTAATACAAAAACCACGAAAAAAATGTCCCAAGTCAACCTATTCGAAATTTAAATTATAATGTCATCGCAGTATCGCGCTGTCAGTAGAACAAATGAAGACTGTCGCGCTCTGTATACGATTTTAGCGCCTTACAAGTGCGGACACTTTTTAGCGCGGACCCGACGTCCATATAATTGTAAGTCAATGGATACTATGCAAAATTGTGACAATGATATTATCAAATTGTTGTAAAATAAGCAAACTAAATATCCGTACATTTAGAAGAATGAATTTTAGCACTGAATCTTATAATTCTACTAATAAAAGTACCAATAAAATAATAACTAGTGCTATGTAAATCTCCTAGCACCTTTCACAGTACATATTGTTAAACATCGATTGTATCCTAGGCTTCGTTTTACACTGATTCTATGAAATAGTATTAAAATCTGTTCTTTCAGTGTTTTCAACCGTAAAATGCGCTATAATATTTTTGACATGTGCTCAGAAGTAGAAGTTTTGTAAGTAAATAAATAATACAATCTATTACGTCACGCATTTGCGACAACTTCAAAGCATGTGGTTGTGTTGTGTAGAGTTAGGAACACTATGGATTTTAATATCGATACCTGATCGGTAACGACGGATTTTCGTAACTTTTTAAAATGAGATTAATTTAATTCAAAAAACAAACAAAATATAAATAAAATAGACAAAATGTTCAACAAAAATATCAGTGCCAATTTGCTATTTGAAAATAACTCTACGTCCTTGAATTTCCCCTGCACCCTTCGGTTACACCTGTATAAAACCATATTGATGAGGCTGGATCTGCAGCTTGTTGTCCCGTCTATGTTGACAATTATGCGGAGAGATCTTTTTTGCAACCTATACAATAATTATTTATTGTGTGTCTGTGCTACTTCCCCACAAGATATTGCCACATTGAAGTTGAAGAAGACAGAATACATCACATACACGTATAATATTTATGCAACAGAATACTATGCAACAGAATGACCCGCAAAAAAAAAAATTATCCATGAATAGCGTAAATTACGCCATATCAAAATTAATATTTTTGTAAGGCCGTATTATCGTAATTATGTTTTGCTGATCATTCTGTTGCATATTGTTTACAAATAAAATTACAATAATTATTGAGATGTAAACAGCGACTTACATCTGAGTTGTTTGTGTTTTTCCGTTTCATTCCAATGCACTTGTTTATAAAAATATCATAATCCCAAAGTGAGACTGACTGAATCTCAATTTTAAATAAAAAAATATTGTAGTTAGTATGTAATTATAAAATTAGAAGTATTTTATAATTGATTTCGGTCAGACACATATTCGATTTTGTTCCATCGATTAACTTCGTTGTTCATTTCGCAGTGGACAAGCAAATGGAATTTATAAACAACTGGCTCTACTGTCGTCATCTCATCTGCATTTTCAAACCAGTTCCACAACTTAGTGGCTCCTGGTAGGCAGGTCCACCACAGATTTTAAACAAAACTGCGCTGTATCGAAAGGCGAGCACTATTCTTAATTCAAGTTTAAGTATCATAACAACTCGTGAGTTATCTGCAAGTTTTGTGCCCATGTCGCGACGGTCACGAGGCAGCAACGTATGGCAGGTTCGCGCCTCTGCTTTGGCTCGTAATACCCACAATTTGATTAGAAGTATTGTGGACGATCTCAAAGTTGAGCCAAATCCTGAAAAGCCATTTATTGCACTTTCAGTTGGTAAGTTACGATTGCAACGCATAATACGAAATATATAGAGAATTAATTGAATTACATGTATATTTTTTATTGATCTACTTGGGAGTGTTCAAGATTACTATAATAAGTACCAATATACCGTTATTTTTGTATATTATGCCCGAACTAGACACACATTCATAAAATCTATAAAACAACATGCTCTTTTTTATATTAATGTCATTTAAAATCAATAGGAATGTTACCACGTAGGTAACGGTAAAAAGTGACATATTCATTGCTTAATATCTAATATAGGATAAATCAATTATGAAAATAAGTCATAAGACAAACAAGAAGTAATTGTCAATAAAAAAGGACGAGTAGGTTTAATACAAATTGGAAGAAAAAATAAAATTTAGTTAATCATTTAATCAATACTGAGGAACCTGCGAGGAAGCACAAGTAATTAGTAGCTAAGTTCTATAACTAGTGATTACGCATGTAAAAGCAGGTAATAGAACAAATAAAGGGTGTAACAAAAACAGGCTCAATCTCTAGTGATAATACTTTAAGAGGTTTAAAAGTTTTTTTCGTACATACCTGCGTGTCTATAATAAAAGAAATTAAAATTAAATTAAAATTAAATTAAAGTTTGAAACCTAAAAAACGGTAAATGTCAATGAATAACTTAGGTAATCAAAACATTGGGATTTTTTTAGAATTTGTGATTTGTAAAACTGTAATATCAGACTTTAAAGTCAAGATTTAGGAAGTGGTATATTACTTTTACACTATGGTAAATTATTAAAAATATGTATCTTTGGAATGCAGTATCAAATTTTCAAAAGTCTGTTATTAGGGTAAAGCACTCTAATGATACAATTTTAATTTTTTTAATATTTCATCGAGGATTAATAAAACTTAAGTAATATCTATTAACTAAATGATTAAAAAATAAACTAGATAAGTCAAGGTCAAGAGGATCGAATGACTTACGCAACCTATTGGTATACCTCTCGGTCTGTCTACCAATTTTTATTGCTACTTTACGTAGGTAGATATTTATAATTCTTTAGTGTTTAAGTATGCTATGTTGTATATATGTGGGCTATGTTGAGTGTATGCGTTAAAAAAAAATACTTTTAAAAATAAATAATTTCAGGCGATCCAACTACCTTTGGAAATCTAAACCCACCAGAGCAAGTGCTGCAATCTATTCGTGAAAGTATAGATTGGAATAAAAGCCGGAGTTACGGTCCTGCTGTTGGCCATTTGGATGCCCGGCAAGCTGTAGCGGAATACAGCGCACATCAGGGCAATGTTGCTGCCGAAGACGTTATACTCTGCAGCGGGTGTTCGCATGCCATTGAGATGGTCATTGCTGTTTTGGCTGACTCGGGACAAAATATACTTGTACCACGGCCGGGTTTCATGATATATAAAACATTAGCCGAAGGATTGGGCATCAACTTAAAATATTACAATTTATTGGTAAGTTTTCAATTTTTCTTAGCAATTTTTGAAAATATGTGATGGAAGTCACTGTTTTCGATAAGTAATATTAATTTATCGTCTCGTTTCAATCAAACCTTCAATTTAAAAGGATCCGATGAATGGCGAAGCTAGAGTTGTATATAAAATGAGGAGAGACAAGTTTCTAGAAGCATAACTAGTTTCCAGTTTCTCGTATACTACATTTGCATATTACTTATATATACGCGCATTTTCTTTGTAACTGCGTATATTATTATAACCTTTTTCCTTTGCTTTATGATTTAGTAGATTAATTCAAACCATGTCTCTTTTAACAGCCTGATCAACAATGGAAAGCAGACCTGGATGATTTGGAAAGCAAAATAGATGATGATACAGCACTTATAGTGGTTATCAATCCTTCCAATCCGTGTGGTTCTGTTTACAACAAGGAACATTTGCTCGAAATATTAGATATTGCGTCTAAAAATAGGGTACCTATTTTAGCTGACGAAATATATGAACACTTTGTATTTTCTGGCAATGAGTTTGTCGCCATATCGTCTCTATCTAAAGATGTACCAGTGCTGACTTGCAGTGGTCTCACGAAAAGGTTTTTAGTTCCTGGTTGGAGGATGGGTTGGGTCATTATCCATGATCGAAATGATATCTTAGGAAAAGACGTGCGCAAGGGCTTAATAAATTTCGCTTCCAGAATTTTGGGCCCAAACACCCTAATACAAAGAGCTCTACCCTCAATATTAAGGAATACGCCACAAAGCTTTTTCGATGAAGTAGTATTATTTATTGAGGTAAATTAGAACAAAAAATGTGTTAAGAATTTTTTTCCTATTAAGAATGAAATTTACAATTAAAGTTTACTTATCTTTATTATATTTACAGAGTCAAGCAAAGCTCGCGTACAGTGAATTACGACGCGCACCTGGTTTACGCCCGATTATGCCTCAAGGCGCAATGTACATGATGGTTGAAATTAAAATGTCCCAATTTCCAAAATTCAAGAACGAGCTTCAGTTTGTGGAACGTATGGTTAGTGAACAGTCTGTGTTTTGTTTACCAGGACAGGTGAGTTAGCAAGATTATAACTTTATACACAAAAATAAATAGGTATGTGTGTAGGCAGTTCTTCTTTTAATTTTATTAATATAGGTAAGTATTTTGGTTCGTATGATATAATTTTCATGTTATTTTCTATTTCAGTGTTTTGATTGTCCAAATTTTGTGCGCATTGTGCTGACGGTTCCTGAAGAGATACTTCTTGAAGCATGCCGCAGGATCACCGTATTTTGTAAAGATCACATTATTTCAGGAGAAAAGTTAAAAGGAATAGACGCGAACGTCGTAACTGTCGCAAATGAACCTAAAGTTATTTGTGGTTTATCTCGAGTAGCTTAACATCTATTTATAATAATCTTACTATTTTTTGGAATATTTGTAAGTCAATAAATAAGTACTATTATATCAATAAATAATCAATAAACTATTACACTTATATACTTTGAAAAAAAAAATTTCATTTAATCCTACCATAAAAAGGGGCGGGCATACCTTAGTTCAGTTTCAAAGCCGAGCGCTGTGTAAAGAAGTTTGGGCTTTGTTAAAAATGTTTTTGGGCAAAAATTAATATATATTAATGTTTTATGCGTTGTACATAATACAAACTTTTATTAACGCTAGCACTAAGTCTCTCTTGCACAATTCTTAGTTTGGTCAATCTTAAGCTGAGATACCATTGGGATACTACGTGATAGGGGTTTGGTTTTTGTAATACTAAGCAGTTATTTCACTAATAATTCCGTGATGCTGGACAAGCAGTACCTCTCAAGAACCCGGGGAAGCAGGTTTCTTTTACTTTGTGCCCTAGGTACGATGGCGCATTAAAAAGATTGCAGAATGGGGAGGGGCTGGACAGGAGATGGGGATTTTTTTTGTACTTGGCATTATCCGAACACTGAATACAACAGTAGAAGAGCTCCTTGTGAAAGAGTTCGCATAAGGAACTAGTTCCACTATACCTATTTCTGCTGCCAAGCAGTAATGCGATGTGAAATACTGCGGTCCAGTTTTGAAGGGTAAATAATGGTGCTGGTGAAACAACACTCCGCGTGACAGACGCAGTGGCATTGCCTCTCGGATCTTGCGATTTATTGCTCTCAGTGGCACTGCAACTGTTGTCTAATAGGCAAATACCACTACCATTATCGTGGTACTAATAGATGTATCACTACAGATGCTACGAATATTCAACTATTAATCAGTATTTGGCCTATTCGACCACTTTTTTTAATTAGGACGAATCGAAAGCCGAATACCAAATCATGAACAAAAAATCGCTCGACAGGTTCTAACCTGTTATCCTCGAAAAGGCATAATTGTTACGCCGAACATTTGGCAACCAAATATTCGACGCTACGGCCGAGAGCGTCGCCGAATATTTGGTATTTGGCGGAATGCCAAACAGTCAAATAACGAATATTTGGCGTGTAGGTACTATTCGGAACATGTGGATCAGGCGCACATCTTGTTCGCGGTCATAAAAAATGCAGGTATAGACATTGTACCCATTGGCCTATATGGGTATAAATATAAAGTTGTAGTTAAATTGAGTCCATTTTTTTAGTTATCGTTAGATTAATATCATTAACGAAGAAAAGGCCAGATATTTACAAATATTAGTTTCGTGTCGTCATAAAGTTTATAAGCAAGTAAGCTTAGAATAAAAATGAAAATAGAAAAGCTTAATATTTCATCGAATTGCAATATGGCGAAGCCACTAAAAAAAAATACCACGCTGTCATTCGATCATTCGGGTTTCTGTGCGTTAGGTTTTTGTTGAGAAATTTATTACTTCAGGGAAATTTGTATTCATTTCCATTTTCAAATACTAAACTTATTAAACCTCAATAATGTCTCAACTGAAATCAAATAAGAAGTTCAAATGGGCAATGGACTACAACCAAAAGTGAGTATACTCATGTACGTTCTGTATGAATTCATTCGATTTACTATTTGTCATGGTTGATGTTGGGTTGTATTAAAATCTAATAATAGTAATAATAAACCTATATAATACGTAGGTTTATTGTATTATATGTTATTGTGTCGGTATCAATAATAAACTTTATGATGTTTTCTAGAAATCGCACGCAACCTATAGACTGCCCTTCTCCACCAGGCTACAGCCAGTCAACAGGAGCTAGCTACTCTGAATCTTCTAAAGACGCAGACTCAAACCTGCTTTTAATTAAGAAACTGTGGGATGTGGCACTTGGACCGCTAAAACAAGTACCAATGAACCTGTTCATAATGTACATGGCAGGCAACTCTATTTCCATATTTCCTATTATGATGGTTGGCATGTTGATTGTCAGGCCAGTGAAAGCCTTATTCGCCACCCAGAGCACATTCAAGATGGTGGAGGGAACACAAGCTGCTGGTCAAAAATTTGTTTATTTCATAGGAAATGTTGTCAATATATTGCTTGCACTGTATAAGTGTCAAAGTATGGGATTATTACCTACACATTCTAGTGATTGGCTTGCATTTGAAGAACCACAAACAAGGGTAGAGCACATTGGTGGCGGACTATCCTTAATATAAACTCAGTATATAATGTTCAGCTAGTTAATTTTATTTATCATTGTATAGAATTAATAAAAAATATGTACAGTAATAGAAATAGTTCCATTTTAATGTTCATTACTTCTTAACGTTTTTATTACATTGTATGTTCAGTTAGTCAGATTATAATTTATATCTATTTGCTACCATCTGTTTTAGATTTAATATATGCTTGTGCTTTTTCTAGGAGCGCCTTTGGGTCTTCCACTTTATCAATCTGCAAAAGAAAATAAACATTTTAAACAAAGCAAATCATTATTAGTTGCAAATACCATTTTTGCATTTTTATTATGGATAAATAGAGCTGGTTCATTTACTTAAAAATAAATAGTTAACTAACCAGCTCTTACTAGACCTCTGTCACAGTCTTGTACATTTTTCGGAACGATTGTGGCAATTGTATCCTGTATAAAAAATTTAGGTATATGAATTATAATAAAAAATAAATAAAAATGTGTAAGTTGAAAACCTACAGAATATAATATGCTCTTGAGAGATATTGAATTCTCTTTACATAAGTAGTTTGAATAATTTAAAAAATATTCAGATTAGAACATGCAGTGTATATTTGTTTGTTATAGCTCCCATATGAACATTAGGCCACAAACCATGAAATATTTGTATATAAATGCGATGGTAGATTGAGAGATAGCGACAAACACATACAAAGGAGACTGGCCACGGCCCAAACAAAATTTACCCTAGCCCAGCGCAAACGAAACATATCTCATATTTTAGTGTATAATTAGGTATATAACTTATTGATACTCAGCATTGTCAAATATTAATATTGCTATTTATATTTTTTATGCATTAAATTAAAAACATTGTTTATTTTACTTAAAAAGTATGTAGAATCATTGTAACTACTTATGTAGAAAGTAAACGAAGAACGGTATTCAACATTGAAGAGTTCGAGGGTAGAACAGTAATTAAAGAATATTATTGATTACATGGCAGAAGCAGTGTAGCTAGTACCTAGGTGGGGTTAGACACGAAGATGCAATTAACCCCTGTACAGAAGCTAGAACGTTGTTTCCCAAAGTGGTCCCTAACGCCCCTCAGGAGGCTGAAGAGTCCGTGGGCTGAAGATTTCTAACATGAACTATCTATAGATATAAACTACACTACAAATATCTAGTTTTTTCTCTGATTGGTGGAAAAAAAAATGGGCGGTGAGCCTACAATTTTGGGAACATATAGGCTAGAATATATTTTATTAGATATATACAAAATGTATAGCAACAATTATATTACATCTCGCACCTGATAACTAACATAATATTATCTCAAAAATTGCGTTATATTATGTTTTATCTCAAAATCGCGTTATATTAATAATTTATCTCCAAAATTTTGTTATATTGATGTGTCATTCATATACGATTTATTTTCAAAGTGACAGGACAACACTGCCGCTTTGAAACTAAATAGGTAATATTAATATAAAATAAAGCCATTTTGAGATAATACTGTTAGTTTTCGTGTGCGATCTGTTTTTTTTTTTACCTCTTAACTGATTTTAATATTAAATTAATAATAAAATATTTGTTTAATGTACCTATTAAAATATTTTTCTTGATTAGAAACATCAAAATGTAGACAGTTTAACCAATGTTCTGAAATATAAACTCACAGAACCTTTATTAAAGTAAAACTTGAATAAATTTAAATCTAAAACTGTTTCGCCTGAAAAAAAAAACGCACAGCAATTTTAACATGTTACCTACCGAGGATATTGAATAAAAAACTTTATACGATTTTTTAATTCGTTACAGTGAATAATTCGAGACAAATTTTAGTTGCGCCAGGAGCAGTAGTTTTTTGGGTCGGGTTTTTGGGTCACATTTGACCAGTCTCCATAGTGTTTCCTTATGTCCTAAATACATCTCTACTTAAGCAGAAATATTTGATTCCCTGGTAGTTAAGGCTCAGTGATGTGAATTCAAGATCAATGTGTAGGTATTACCATCTCTTGCCACGATCTAAGAGTTTAATGTGGTTAATGAAAGCCACCTAGAGCAGGAACACTAGCGATCAGCAAGAGGTCTATATATATATATACAGCAATGGGCGGTAGCCTATGTATATAGACCTCTTGTTTTGCACGCTATTATAATTTCGGTCGCTTGCCACGTTGGTAAGTGTTAACCTGCCTACTGAATTTCGCTATTCTCAGACGCCACTTTATGGTAGCTCTTTCCATGGTCCGTTTTCCGATTTTACCAGGTGACCTACCTATAAGTCCAGTCTAGCTTGATAATAGCTAGGCGCGTCACCAGCAAGCGCTCGATTCGGCGCTTACGTTACTATAGACGCATTGAAATTCCTACTTCTACAAACATTTAATTTTACACTTGCATGCACTTTTCAATGGTAAATTAAAAGAAAGTAAAATTCTGATTGAAATAGTGATTGAAGTTATCACAAGTACTTCAATGTAGATCTGGGTGTATTATAGTGTCAATGTTCGAAATATTATTATGTTCAATATTTTGACCGAAGGTCTCAGTCGGTTAAAGAGCCCAGCCAAAACTTTAAGTTTGTTTGAAAAAAAAAAAACCAAATTCGCGGTTTTAGATAAGAAAAAATAGTTTCCAATTAAAAGTAGTTTCAAGTAAGGTAGATATAAAAAGTTGCCACTTGATCTGAGGAATCGATTTTTTTAACTTGCTTCGACAATCATGTTAATAAACGTACAATACAGCAGATTAGCAGGGCCCTCCGCGAGGTCAACTTACTCGTAGTAGAGGTATATTTTTTAGATACCTACGAACTACTCACTAAATGCACTTTCGTTGCTCCTCAATGCCCTCCCCACTAGAGGGGCCTACTTACTGTAATAAACAAAAGAGGGCACACATAGTATTATTTTTAGAACCAGGAGCTGTATTTTAGTAAGTCACCACCAGGATCATGGCCTCCTGTGTAGCATATTATAGAGGTCTGGACTGGATACGTACTAACTAGATTATTTTCTTATGCAAAAAATTAATGCATATTGCTTTGATAATCAAAAGAAATAAGTATGATAATCCGAAGACTGATTTAACCATCTGATTTTAATCTAAAATTTATTTACTTTTATCTAATTCTGCATTGTTTTATATTGACCTACCAACAAATGGACGTCGGGTCTAATACAAAAACCACGAAAAAAATGTCCGAAGTTAATCTATACAAACGTAGTGACATGTTACGAAATATAAAAACTAAAACATATAATTTAAATTGTAATGCCATTGCAGTACTGCCTAATTTTGCTTGCAACAATGTAAGGACCCAAAAACACCATATCCAGCTTCTACTGGAAACTTAACAAAATGCACCATATTTGGGTGAATTTCACTTACCAAATTTCAATGACACTTTTTGAGTGATTTTTGTAAAACCCTTTTTTCTTTTGGTTTTAAGGTCTTACTTACTTAGGAACAGATAAGTTCAAACAATGTCAATAATTATTAAATATATATAATATAGATATATTTAAGCGAAATACAACAAAAAACGATATTTTAGGTCACACGAATGAGATTGCGGTAACACGAATGATTTTCTCATAAACATAAATGAGAAAGACGACACAGTAATGAGAAATTAGTGTTACAACACACATTTTATCGTTCACAATAGAACATTTAACACGTATCAAATATTTTAATATCACTTCTTGTATCAAAATCCTTCTCAATTTCCACGAGTGTTTAATTTTTTTCTTCATTTCTTAAAATTAGGGTGACGTGGAATCGGCTCCCATGAATGAGAAATAAAACAAAAGGAGGAGATTTTCAATTCGTCGGTTGTTTTTTTTGTATGATGTTACGCGATAACTCCGCCATTTATGAACCGATATTGATAATACTTTTTTTTTGTTGGAAAGAGGGTACCTCAAAAGTGGTCCCAAATAAATTTGAAGAAAATATTCCACCTCTAAGGGTGGTAAACTAGGGGATGAAATACTTTTGAGGTCGGTTTTTGAATCGGAGGTTAGGTTATCATTTATTACTATGGCGTACTAAAGTAGTATTTTTTTGTGTAACACTGACTAAGTAAACAAGCAATCTTAATAAATAAATAATGCTTAGCATTCATGTAATAATATAAAAGTTATTGAAAGGGACACATTTTTTGAGGTTATCTGAAAACGACCCATTTAGCTTCGACTTAACACAAGAGTAATGGAGTAGCCTTGATCGTAAATATTAATTAATTTTTATATATATTATTGTCGAATTTTGTATAAATTCACTTAAAGAAATAATAAAAAGTTGGGCAGATAAATACATACAAATATTACTACAAATGTGTGAAAATAAGCGTGTACACAATAAATGTACCGATATTCCAACTAAACGTTAACTCAAATATCCGTAATTCCGAAAACCAATTTATAATAAAACCGTTACGCTTTCGAGTACTTTTGATGCTTTTCACAAAGACAAAATTAGCTTTAGTTTTGTAATCTTTTAAAAAAATACATTTGACATTATGAAAATTCGAGCTAACGTTATTTTGGGCAAATGTATTTTCTGACTTCTGACAAGTAATCCCTAGGCGTAAAACGAGTATAACGAAATTTTGTTACTTATTGCTAACATTTAATAAAAAAATAATTAAAAAAATAAGATTAAAATCAAAGCGACTCTATAGTTTCTTTGTTCTAAATATTTGAATCGCTTGTGGTTCAAACAATTGAAGACCAAGAAGTTTATATAACCTTCTAAAATTGACGCAGTGGGTCTCTTTCCATCTTATGCGCATGCAATGTGTAGAAAAAGGACAGTTAGTTAGCTATTTGATTATTTTGTGTGCTTATGTAATTTATATTTACGATTCATTTATATATAAATTAAATACTATAAAACTGCATAAAATAACACTTTTAAATAAGAACTATGATAACACAATACATTTGTTTAGTGAAAACATGATACAAAATCCTGTATTTACACTTTACTGCAGTAATTTTTACAAGTCATTATTAAATGGTATTGCATGATTGACAACCGCGCTGTCAGTCGAACAAACGAAGACTGTTGTGCGATTGACGCTCTGGGTGCGATTTTAACGTCCTATAGGTGCGGACTCTTTTTAGCGCGATTACGACGTCCATTTATTGGTAGGTGTTGTTTAATGTTGTATTACATCGGACTTCAGATATTTAAGGGTCGTATTCCAGAACTCTACTTAATGCTCAAGTCAGGATTTGAGCAGACTTGAGTATGTTTTGAAGCACTGGAAATACGACCCTAATGGCAAGGACTTGAGTATGATTTTTAGTGCTTTAGCAGCGATGTAAACGCGCGTTCGTGAAACGCGCGATTGCATGACTACACTTGCGATGTATAGGCGGTTGCATTGATACAAATGCGCGACTGCATCGATGTAAACGCGCGTCTGCATAGATGCAAAGGCGCGACTGCATCTGCAGTTACAAACGCGCGATTGCATCGATACAAACGCGAGACTGCATCGATGCAATTTCCTCGTCAATTGCAAGTCGTCGTGTGTAAGAGCTCTAAGACGTTATGAGAGAACTATAGGGAAAAATGTTTTAGTGTTGTCAGTATTACGTAAAGCGACTTAGTTTGATGTACATAATTTAAGTTCTAAATCTATGACAATTTAGGTACATAAGTTCATAAATATCACTTAGGCAATAATAAAATTTTAATTTTTTATGAGATTTTATTTCAATGTAACTATTTAGAATTTATAATCGAATCATTTCGCGATAGATTAATAAAGTGGCTTAAATGTTACGATGAATTTCGCTAAACGAACTATTGTTTAGATCAGGTACTTGGTTTTTTTTTCAGGGCACCCTGTAAGGAGTTTTTATGCTTTAGTGATTAATTCATCTGCATGGTCCATTAGCTTTTTCTACAAAAAGGCACAAAACGTAAATGCAAGTAAAAAGTGTGAGTGTCCACGTGCCTGATTTACGATGTACCTAGTAAATTGCTAAGCTGATTTACTTTTAATTTTCCTTTAATGTAACCAGCCGGTTACACCTATCTCATGATCGGGTAAACCGTCGGGTTAAATGTCGAAATGTATTTCCTGAAATTATTTGTAGATAAACATAACCAGGAAATAATATCATTCAATAATGACTTTTATTACCCATAATATATCACCGTTTGTTCGCGCTCTGCACTGTCTTAATACTCTTCTTGTATCTGCACCAGACAGATGTTTTTGAAAGTGGATGGGTGGTTGAGTGTGATGAATGTTTGAGATTTTGTGAGAGGATGGATGAACTTCTGTCTTCTGTGAATTATTAATACAAATTGTCTATTTATAAATTTCACAGTGCCTTGGTATTTTGCTGTAATGCTGTGTAATTTTATGCATAAATAATAATTATAACAAAGCGTGATTGGAACGATGGCATCCACATCGTGTGGTGAACCACATCGTGTGGTAGTAGTCTCGAAAGTCGTGGATATAATTTAGGAAGATTATACTTGGGAAGTCAATACCAGACTGTCATTGTCTTTTCAATCTATCATAGTCTTGGACAATAGTAATTCGAATCATTTAAAGGTATTTTCAATCCCCTATGGCTCAAAATCTATTTATGATTTTATTTATCCCTTTGTATTTTGTTTGTCTAATGAGACACTTCATTATACAAAATTTTATGTTTTTTTTTATTTGTAAAGTATCTTACTAGCTCTATATCAGCCGTCAAACAAACATTTAAAGTTGACGAAAATGTGAAATATTCAATATTTTAAGGGACAGGGGTCTGCTATGTGGTTCACCAGACAAAAAAGATTGGGAATTTCTGCTCTAGACGTAGTAAAAATGTTGGCACGGAGTTTTAAGTCATTGGGCATAAATAAATTAAAGTAACAAACATCGAAAATGGTGGAAATGGAAATGTAACAATTATAATAGAATATTTAGTTCTTCATCGTTCTCTTTCCAATAAAAAAAGAATAATCAAAATCAGTTCACAAATGATCGTGTAACATACAAAAAAACCATGAATTGAGAACCTCCTACTTTTTTGTGAAGTCGGTTAAAAAGCAATGACGGTCCCGGGCACTAGTTACTAGTTTATAATACAAGACATCTATATCTAAGAGCACATCAAGGTTGGACAGTATAAATGTTATCTTCTACTTATCTTCTAAGTTGAATCTTATGTATCAAGTACACCTACCTGTACCTATTAACTTAGTGTCATGATAAAATGTATAGTAGCATTGTCACGTAAAAATGAATTAACTTTGTTAATTTTGTTGTAGTAAGCAAGCAACAAATTCCTGTTAATATTTGGAAACAATTTAAATATATTTGATTTAAAACGGATTGTGAACCTGTTACAAATCATATACCAATAAATTGAAATGATACTACAGTTTTACATGTTGTCACTATTCTCATATTCCCATAGAAAACTTTCAAGCAACTTTAATTTAAATTGGCACCTACTTAAGATTCCTTGCAAGTGTTCCATGTTCTGAATGTGGTTTCGTTTTCAGAGCATGTTTCTGACAGAAAATCATTATTTTATTTAAGGATAAAACTTTGTGTTTTTTTTGTTCAAGATGTAGACATTACAGTGGGTGCTGAATGCACCAAAATCTGCATTATGGTGGATCCACAAAACGACTTGGCTTATTTTCAGATCCGAAACTTTGTAGAGAAATATTAGTTATAACTGAGAACTTTTAATACAGTCACATTGTAATTTATAAAAAAACAAAAAGCCAGAAATAGTTAAATGATAGGTAGCAACTATACATCCATTTTTCTGTAGTTTATAAAATGTTAATGACTGATTAAACAACACTGAATGCTTATTTCGTTAATGTATCTTTTATTACATAATCAGTTATTTGTTATTGCTGAAATATTTACTAGTCCGTGGTAACTTCAAAAAAAAAAGAGAAAATAAATGTCAGGATTAAAATACAAAATGCGAATATGACATTGGTTTAACTAATGTTCAATTAAAATCAAAATTAAGTTATTGACCTGATCTGTCATATAATCCAAGTGGTTTAAAAAGGTCTTTATCGGCTCAAATGATAGCTATCCATTCTTCTTGCATGTACAATGTGCCTGTAGGAAAGATTACGATATTATCTTTTTGAAAAAAAAAAATCATGAGTACAACTCCGAAATATGTGTAATCATGTCAATAAATAAGTCTCAATTGAAAAAAAAAAACTATAATTACATGTATTAATTATTAATGACATTTAAAGAATCGCCCATTTAGTGATAAGAGATAAATCAGTCACCAGATTTTATTTTAAATGTTTGGTCTGTATCGTAATAGTTTATACTTTTTAAGTTGCGTAAATCATATGAATATCAAGTATTTTTTATGAACACAATCAAGTAATCACCTTACAGAAGACAGTAGAGATATACTTAAAAGATTACCATCTAGACCTCTATTACAAAAGAAACTAACAACATACAGCCCACAATTCACTCGATGACGTCTCGAACAAGTTTACTGGTATATTTTGTGCTATGTAATTAAAGACCCTACCTGATAGTTTTGTGCTATATACACTCCTGTATACAATCCAGCGCCAAATATCATCTGGAATAATATAAATGTAATAACAAGAGAAATCATCATAAACAAATCAACTATAACAATATCACCTATCATATGTGCAGGAACACACTCACACTAAATTTCAACATTGAGATTAAACAACCCATGTTTGTGTTCTTGTCTTAGAAACCTCCAGTTTCATTGTTTTCTAATATATTCATTCTGTAAATTTAGTATTCCCCTCATTTTTCCATTTTTTTTACAAATTTACGTATATTGTGAAATTTATCCACAAATCCCTCTTTTATGACTGTATATTGACAGATGGCAGATAGATTCTAAATTTGAAATATTTTCAATTATCAAGGGTTGGTTTCTAAAGTTGATAGGATATTCCAAAATACTATTGATACTCTTTTAAAAGACATTACGAACCATACTCTTTTAACGTATCAAAGAGGTTTAAGTGAAGACTTATTTGTTATAATTACTATCACAATGTCATGGCCCCATAACAGTAGATATTCATGTTTTTATGTGGATCGACGTTATTTTTAATTATATGTTTATGTTCTGCATATCATTCTTCTCAGAATGTCAGTGTCTATTTTTATCGAGAAAGAGCTTAACATTGCGTAAATAAACGAATTGAAACAAAGAAAGCTACGGCAACTTCTGCACTGATTTTCTTACTTACCACATTTTTTATCATTTTGGAAATAATTCTGGATGATTTGCGTGTATCGGTAGTCTGAAAACACTATTCACTTATTGAGTTATTTTTTAGTCTAATCGGCAATAATGCAATAAACAGATGAGCAGTACAAACAGATGAGATGATTGACAATGGTCAGTGACAGACATTGACAACAGTATGACATTTTGTTCAAAATGATTTAAAAAAATTGTGTTTTGTGGCTTTGGATTCAAATATTGTAATATGACATGTCACATAAAATGTGATCATTGTTTATTAGATTGTTTGAAAAGTAACTCACATTGGCAACGATCGCCATAATTTTTATATTATTTTTACAAAAGTGACACTGTCACCGCCATTAAGGAAAGATATTAGTAAATTGTTTAATTTGTTGCTTATAATTGTCATCATCATCAACCCAAATAAATGTCCTACAACTGGGGAAGGGTCTCCTCTAAGGTGAGGGTCCAGGCCATTGTCACGTCCGACACGCCGTTGGCCCAATGCACTTTCGGAAATAAAATTCAATTTCATTAAAAAAAAATTTGAAACTTTAAAAAATATTTGTGTGACATTAACTTATCCTATACGTACTAAAATATCATTGGAACATAAAACATAATAATGTCATGCATGGAGGCATGCATGACATTATTATGTAATTAACTATGCAAGAACAGGTGTTTGTTGCCATTACCATCAAAACAAGGAAATAAATACTAATTATGAGACTGTAAGGAGACTTCTCAAGTAAATGGGTGAAAATTTAGCAAAAAAATAATCTTGAATATTTTAAAACAGTGGTCATAAATCGTTCAAATTACCTACACTAATTATTTATAAAAAATTATATTCTCGTAATAAGTACCTACCTTCGACATATTTGAAGTTATAAGGAAATAAGCAATCTAATATTTTCTCTTCTTATGATTATTCGTCATAGATTCGCAAATTTTAATATATGCGTACTTAATAAACTGTTCACACAAATTGATATAATATATTGACCCAATGTTTAAAATTAACCTTTAGCAATTCAAATCGACACCTACTAGATTTAGTCACAAAATTACGTACATAAACATTTTGTTGCCATAAAATAATAAAAGTAGAAGGGGTAGAGGTCAATATATCTCAGAGTGGTTTGATATAAAAAATAGGATTTAAAAAATGTCAAAAATACAAAGACCATTCATTCTTCAGTATAACGAGAATTAGGGCGCATTTACACTAAGTCGTCAGGCAGAGGTCGCCTGACGACTGCTGGCAAAAAAACCGGTGTAAATAGTAGTTAGTCTGTTGACTGAAACGACTGGGTGCATCACCTTCGGCAAGGCGAAGTAGTCTGCCGAAAGTGGCAGACGAGTCGATGTAAATGGCGAGTCGACTGCATCGCCTTCGGAAGGTGAAATAGTCTGCCGACGACGACCCGGTGTAAATGCGCCTTTACGAATGAGCGAAAATCAGTCAGTCAGGTATAGTAGCTAGGGCTGACTTCATTTAAGCAATAACAGTCGAATACTTTTTACGAAAGTGGGTTAGAGTTAAACAGTGTCAAAACATAGTGCTTAAATTCTCTTTGTGTCAAAATTCCTTACGCCACATCTTACACATTTAAACCGGTTTACAAAGTGATTATTTAGGTATATAGATATGTGGCAAAGTAAAGTGGTTTTATTATTACGAAATGGTGAAAATAATAGTTCCCTTGATTTTTTCAAAACACTTTATGAGTAATAATTTCCAGTCTAGGGGTCGTATTCTAGAACTCTACTCAATGCTCAAGTCAGGATTTGAGTATGATTTAAAGCACTCGAAATCATACTCAAGTCCCTGCCTCCCATTAAAATCATACTCAGATCCGAAAGTTCTGGAATACAACCCTAAGTCTAAGGGTCGTATTCCAGAACTCTACTCAATACTCAAGTCAGGATTTGAGCAGACTTGAGTATCATTTCAAGCACTGGAAATACGACCCCAATGGCAAGGACTTGAGTATGATTTCTAGTGCTTTAAATCATACTCAAGTCAGGATTTGAGCAGACTTGAGTATGATTTCAAGCACTGGAAATACGACCCTAACGGCAAGGACTTGAGTATGATTTTCAGTGCTCACTGCAATACTCAAGTCCTGACTTGAGCGTTGAGTACAGTTCTAGAATACGACCCTGTCTCTATCAATCAGAATGTGCAACCAAAATCAAATTATTTAAATTATTATCGTCAAATTGGATATCTATTCAGAGAAAAATAACCCCAAAATCTGTAATAGGGAAACGGTTAGGTAGCACTTTCACTAAAAAAAAATCGAGTCGAATGTACATTTTAAATATTTTGGAACTTCCCGCTTAACTAATAACAAATGATATTTAAAGAATGCCTTTTATAATTATAGCTTAACAGGACTTACTTTCATTATTTTGCATACATTACTATATTCTACATTTCATACATATTCATACATTTTTTTCTACGGTTACCTGGAAGAAATCTTTACACACGAATAAGAATAATTGTTGCACATTGACTTACTATTTTTTTAAGACACTGAGTGACGGGGCGAAGAAGTCTTTTGCCTGGGTTAAGTGACACGCCTGTCCATAGCAGTTACAGTGCCACTCAGAGCTTTAAATTGCCAAGATGTGAGGGATACTGCCACTACGTCAGTCATCCTGAAACACAACTTGACAGGACCCACGTGCCTGTGATTTCACCAGCACCCTTACCCTTCAAAACCGAAACGCAATAGTGGCAGAACTTCCCTGGACGAACTCTCTCACAAGGAGCACTTCAGCTATTTTTATACTTAATTTATTGTTGCGTTGACACTGTAATGGGAAAGAATTTTCATTAGTTACCAGCTATGCGACCTACATTGGATTAGATATTTGGGTAGAAAGATCAAACAATAAGTCATTTTTTTTAGAAAACTTTATTATTTTTATCACAATAATTTAATTATGCATAATGCAATGGATGGATAATACTTAACTTAATAAAATTCACTCATGCATGATAATTTTATAGAATACTTTAAAAAAAAAGAATAAAAAAGCTATAACTTTGTAGCGGTACCTACTTCAAGCAGTGTTTTTGTTTAATCTATCACATAGTAATCAACAGGTTGATTTATTATGCTAATGTCTTATTTCTTCAAATATAAATAGATAGTTTAAAGGCAGAAAGAACTAAGTGACTCTTAGGTTAAAAATTATACATCTACATAGTAAAATTTATGGATAATATTAGAAGGCCTATGACTTTTATTAGGCCTTCTAATTATCCTGGAATTTTACTACCTAGGCATAGCAAAGCAACCTCAATGTCGCATAATACCTTTCATACTGCCCATTGCCGAAATTTTTAAGAAGTGGCATTTATAATGCTTCATTTTTCAATTGATATTTACGTGTTTTATTGGCAGGTTTTTTTTATATTCAACAAATATTATATTATGTATAATTTTGAAAAGTTAAAAATTATTTTGTTAAATAATTTCGTAGGCAGGTGACTACAAAGTTACGGATAAATTTTAGAAGTGACTTGTTGATACTTATAAACAATATTTACAGGTGTTATTATGAGATAAATTGCTTATTGATATGTTTACTCGATTGTCTTTAGAACATTCCGTTAATATTACTCTATCTATATTTACAATAATTTCATGAGTCGTAAACCCATAAGCTTCGTTGGCTTTTTTGACCTATTTTATATTGGTCGTCTAGAAATGAGCTATTGTTGTTCTCGACAGTAAGGAGCCGCCAAACTAAGGAATTGTTTATTATTGGCCACCTTCATATACAAAGTAGCTGGTATGCTACTCTACCTGACTTGCGCGAGATATATTTGAAGAGCACAATTTATTTAACTTATTTTAAAAACATTGAAGACTCATGCGACGATTAAAACTTAAGTAAAAATAATTACAAATTACTTTGTACAAAACTACTTCTATAGTACCTAATATAATAAATCTTTTTAGAAAACTTAAACATTAATAGTAAGTGCCTATTTGATTGCAATTTGAAGTTCTTTACCGTTTAACGGGGCAGGTAGTTAGGTCCGATTAGGTACGAACTACATAACAACGTTAACACGAACTTTTATTAGTTATCTAGTAATATTAGGTAATCAATTATAATAAAGTATTTGAACAACCATGAGTACATTTATCACATTACACATGTACCATAACTTAATACATAGTACCTACTTATTCAACTAACTTTTTTATTGTTCTGCATTTCTAAACAGGTATTGTATGGAGTCTTCGTGAAGTGCTATGAGCAGCATGATCACACCGCCTGTGAGTATGCCTAACACCGCTAGAAACAAGTTGATACTCTTCCCGTGATTGTTTTCATTTATCTCTGGCACTAAGTCTGCAAGCGCTATGTAGAAGAATGTACCGGCAGTTGCAGCGTAAATCCACTGGGAAGTGGATTCATGGTCCTCGGCAAGCCATATTCCACCCGCCATGCCCATGAAGCTTAAGATAGATGACAGCAAGTTGTAATACAAAGCGCGTTTGATGCTCATACCAGACCGTAGCAGTACAGCGAAATCACCCAGCTCATGAGGCAGTTCGTGGCAGAACACTGCCAATGCTGTTGCAAAGCCGGTTACTGGGTCACCGCTAAATGCAGCTCCTATAGCTAAACCATCGGTTAAATTGTGCAAAGCGTCACCAACTATCACCATGAGGGCGGTAGATGTCATAGGGCGGTCAACTGGTGGCGGTGGTGATCCTGGCATCATCGCACCTAGCTCTATGGATTCTATTTGCTTCGTATCAGATTTGATCCCCTCAATAGGTTTCCCTTGATCATGAGAATGGGCGTGTCCACCATGTATTGTTTGCATTACAGCCTCGACGGTGTAGAACAATAGAATAGTAAGGAAAGTGACGCTGCATTTGAGTATAACTTCTGTTTCTTCTTGTGGTGCAGACGGTGGACCGTGAGACTTCAGTGCATGGGGCAACAGGTGCAGCAGTGCATCACCGCATAGTGTACCCACGGCTACGGCCACGAGGAAATGTAGTACGTGGCTGAAGATAACAGACTTCAGTAATGGTACAATTGCTACACCCAGCAGACCGGTTGCGCTGATTACTAAAATGCTCAAACTAGCGTAAATCCAAGCTGTAACAATATATGTGATGTTATTTACGTTCCTGTCTTTCAATTGCTATTATCTAATAAATAAATTGAAAAGGTTTACACTTACTCCAATGTCTTTCAAGTTTTGGCACGGGCATTTCTGTTTTGTAGCAGGAGCGTTGGTCCAGCTGGTAGACGAGGGCGGGGCATATTTCCAAGAGTTTTTTTGGTCCAATACTGATCACGCCAGGCTCGTTCTCCACGCCGTAAACTTTCAGTATTTCCCTTGGAGACAGGCATGATTCCTTTTTCAATACGGGTACAGCTGTAGAACAAAGGAAAATATTGTGTTAAATATCAGATTATTTAAAACCGTGATAGCCTGATGGTTTTACCGCCTCTCAAGCAGAGGTCGTGGGTTCAAATCCGTATTCGAATATATGAGAAATTTAATTTGAAATATACCATGAGTTTTTCGGTCACGGAAAACATCGTGATGAAACCGGCACTTCGACGATGGTTCACAGTCCAAGAAGGTTCAGAAAACGTGTGAAGTCTCCAACCCGCATTGGCCCAGGGGGGGGACTATGACCTCAACCCTCGCCTGAGAGGACACCCGTACCCAGCACCGGGACAAATAAATAGGTTGATGTTGATTGTTGTTTTTTTTATCCGATTATTGTTAAGGACGTAAGCAAGAATCAACAAGAGTTAATATACGAGTTTGTATACATAAACTCATAAGTACTTAACTTGTGTATGATGATAGTAAATAGTCTTTGTATGTAAGACAAGCTATACCCTATTTTACGTTAAAGGACCGATAAGGTACCTAAGTACATAGGATACTCAAGACAGGTGTATAAATTCAGAAAATAATTAAACACTTGAACGTAAATATAATCGATAATGTAAATAATTATCATTTTATTATTGAAGGTACTTGTGCTATAATCTCTGCATTAAATAGAAATAGTCTTGAAATCGTCATGGTCACCAGAGTTTCCATTTTATTTAATAAATAATCAATATTTTTTTATATATTCTCCTCACAAACTCATAATAAAATTGCATTGGAATATGTTTATATGTTTTGCGTATGTGTTGTTTCTTCTGTTGAATCTTGAGAATGTATTGTTTTGCTAATATGATATTCAGCTACAGACGTAAATTGGCACATAAAATCAAGTCTGTAAATATAGTACATATTCAAATAATACACATTGTAGTCTTTTAAAACGATTTTATTTTTAAATGTGGATTCGTTGATGTCTTTCGTTCTGTAAATATAATTGGTCTATTGCGCTTTTATTCTAAAAATACCAAAAACATTGACTTAAAGAAATGTAAGCTCCCAAATTAATTTTCGTCATATTCTACAGTATATATGTACAGTAAGTACCAACGTTCAAATGAAAATGTTGTCTGTGGTTGTTTGTATTTTACAATGTATTTTGCATGTCAAATAAAGATTCCGCCTTCCCCTTCCCATCATCGGGGGACTAGACGTAGGCTGGGGTTCCACTGTTGGAAAGATTCGTACGTCGACTTCATCATTACTTTTCATCAGGCGAAATTGAGGACAATGGCGCACTTTTTTTATAAACAAAAATATGACTGTGATCGATCCTTATGATACTCGGGATAAATGCAGAAAAAACATAAAATGAAACGTAAAAAGAATAAAAGTTGTTTGAAAACGACACAGGCAATAAATACAAAAATACGATTCGACGAAAGTTCGTATATATAACTTGATTCCGTTGGTTTTTAAGGATCCTTTTTAATTCCTCATAAAAATTAGAAATCCAAATCGGTCTAGACCTAAGCTTGATTTCATTAACTATAGATTAATTACCGCATTACGAGCACAATTGTAATTCATAGTTTGTTTACAAAATCTTCTTTATATTACACTTTCTTCAATTCAAGGCCCTAAATTATTTTCTCTTTTAGTGGAGTAAATAGTATGGGATCTTGTGTGGCAAGGACCCGCTAAAAGACTGTGACGGCGTTCCCCTGGTTCTCTTAATAGGATAATCGCATTCAAATGACAATATTATTACGCATATCCTGTCTTGTTGTAGAGTACGTATGGCCAAACTGTAAACACAAGTGGGAAGCTTTACACACTGTTACTTTTTAATATTGAAAATTCGAACTCCATACCTTTAATTTTAAATAAGAAATTTTATTTAAATGAAAATCGAAAGGAGAATTGAGAAACTGCAGTTAGGTGAATAGATTTCTCGTGTATACATGTCGATATATTTTTTTTACAACAACACCAATTGCCTGACCTCTTACTAGAGAATACTCTAAACGAAACGAGTTCCAGAGCATCGGAATTCTGACCAAAATCAATTTAGGTATATCATTTCTTAAATTGGTCCTACCAGGAATCGAATCCAGTTCTCTGCATCTAGCGTCCACATTGTAAATTCTTATGCCATCGAGGTCGTAAATTTTTTTCAAAATTCGTAGAAGAAAGTATATAAAAGTTATGTAAAATTTTCAAGCTCTTATACGTTTATCCGTCTAAATTTGGTTATTTTACGTAATTATTGTATAAATACGAATATAAAAAAAAACAATTGTACCAAAAGATTTATATAGATTTTTATTTTGCAATTTTGAAGTCTTCTCATCCATGAAATATCGATACGACTCTGTGTTTGTCATATGTTTTTAAGTCAATAATATTGTAATGATCCTTGGGAGTTTATACGTAACCGCTGCCAAGAGTCTTATATCCGTGTTCATTGTGTTTTCTTTATTTTAATTCTATGAATTGATATTATATACTATACATGTGACTTAACAATTAAATGATAGGAGTTTTGTTATAGTTTCGTTAAGCGGAAGTTTGAAAGTCACATTCATTCTATTATTATGGAACTATAGTGAATTATTTGTATAGGCAAAATTAGTTACGATTATAAATCGTCTATAGATACGTATAGGTATATAATATTTTCTTCAGTGAGTAAAAGAAAAGACGGAAGTCGTGCTTTAAAGAAAGTTGAGAAGGGAACGCATCGAGAACAAGTTTTATTTGATAACTAGGTAGACATGTTATCCGTAAACATATAGTTTACTTCTAATGTAGGTACTACTTAGATGCTTGAGACGCGGATATTTTAATCGTAGATATGGGCATCTTGTATGTATTATTAGTTGTATGTAGTTTCTGTCAATAAACAACATTAATATTTTTATTTTTTATTTTTTAGCATAAACAAAGGGAACGCTAGCGTACCTACGTTGTTTCTTGTTATTCTCTGCATTTACTAGAAATTATAAATAAAATAGACCCAAAACATAAGGTTAGTGTTCACAAAAAGACCAAGCCAAAGTAAGAGCATCGACCGCGAACGAGGACAAATGGCAATCTACCCAGATTGGTCACACCTTTGAAAATGTAACATAATCAAACAAAAAATTTACTTGTCCGGTAAATGACTTTTCAAGTTCGATTCCACATTTAGTAAAAAATACTAATTAATACTTAATTCGCACAGTTTCTCTTTCAACTTTAAAATTGTCAACCTACTCAATCAGAAACTTCACTTAAATTTTCCAATCAGAATCAAGATAGGTACCAAATTTTTGCAACAACAGCAACTTAAATAATAGGGGTTAAAGTATGAAATTGCCGATTTGTACTGAAAATCTAAATTGTTTATTTTTTAAATTTTTAACAAATTTATTTAATCAAAATAGTTGCCATTATTATCTATACATTGCTGCCATCTAATGGGAAGGTTATTAATGCCTTTGCGATAGAACTCCGACGATCTAGACTGCACAAACTGTGTGAAAGAATTTTGTACTGCCTCCTGGGCAGAAAACTTCTTGTCACGTAGATAATTGTCCAAATCACGAAAAAAATGGTAGTCCGTTGGAGCAAGGTCTGGTGAATACGGAGGATGACGAATGGTTTCTAACTGCAGTTCCTGAAGGGTCAAAATGGTTTCTCGTGCTGTGTGAGGTCTCGCGTTGTCGTGGAGCAATAATGGTGAAGATCGATTCATGAGTCGGGGCTGTTTTACTGCTAGTTTTGTCAACATGGTTCGGAGTTCGGCACAATAGACATCTGCCGTTATTGCTTGACCAGATCGGAGAAAACTATAGTGAATAACACCATGCTGAGACCACCAAACAGTTACCATTACCTTTTTATTGGTAAGTTTTGCTTTAGGACACTGTTGTGGCATTTGACCTGGGGTCAGCCATTGCATTTTTCTTTTCCGGTTATCATAAAGAATCCACTTTTCATCACATGTTACAATTCGATCCAATATTCCTTCATTTCTGTACCGGTTCAACAAGGCAACACAAGTTTCAACACGCGTTTCTTTCTGCAGATCAGTCAAATCATGAGGCACCCATTTTTCGTATTTTTTTATTTTATTGATTTGACGCAAGTGAGTCAATATTGTGGGTAAGGTAACGTTAAACCATGCCGCTAATTCCTGGGTAGTTT